GGGTTGGTGGTGGTAGTGGAATGGGGTGGGGTTCATCCCGAAACTGCAGGCTCAGGGCATCTCCTGGCCAGTGCGACCGGTGGACCCTGCTTCAGGAAGGACTCCACTACCGTGCATGTCCTGCTATTTTCTCCCGCGTCTTTGGACCCTGTTGTCGCTTTCCAACAGCCCCTGCAAGTGGCTGGCAGTAAGCAACCTCAGTAGCCAGACTCCCTGTGTTTGTACAGAGGGTGGGAGTGACAGGATGTAATAGAATAACCAACAGGAAACCTTTCAGGAAGGAGTCCTAAGGCAGAGTCAGGGACATAGATGCTTCAAGAGCTCTCTTGGTCCCTTGTGTCCCTCCTTCTACTCCCCCCACCCCCACCTTCCCTTGGGGACCTTTTGGCCTCGGAAGGGATCTATTAATAAACCTGTTCAGAAAGGCAGGTGGCTCTGAGGGTGGTGAGCAGGTCTTCTTAGTGGAATGACTGAAGGTCCAACTGGAATTCATTGTGCAAAAGTTCTTGGTGAATCTGAAGTTTGCTTTCTTGGATAGTGTTCTCTCTACCCCTACAAAACAAAGGAGTCCCAGGATCCCAGAATCAAGAGACTTAATGCTCAAACCTGCTTTTCCTTCCAAGAGTCCTCTGACCCAGTGACCCAGTGTCCCTGGATTGGTTACATGGTTACCTCACAGCCAGGAAGTGGTATATGAGGAGTTGGGGTAGCATCCTGGCAAGAGCAGAAAGGGGGTGAGGCTGGCCAAGGATATTCACCGCTGTCATCTTTGGCTGGAAAATGATGGTGCCTGGGTGTCCACTCTGAAGGGAGTCTACAAACATAACCCCCATTCCTGTCCTTTCTCTGCAGCAGAGTTTTTTGTTAGCTGCCCGGAAGGTTCAATTATGTCTGTGTGGAAATTACTGCTTAGTCATTTCTCTGAAGGGAAGTGTATCAAATACAAGTCAAAGTCACTATTCTTTGAGCTCAACCCACAGGTAGCCTGACTTCACTGGTTTCTTATAATGTGGACTGTCAGCTGAGAGATAGCTTTGAAGAGTGGCTATATATTAAACTGACATCATAAGAACCAAATTCCCTTCACCTCCAAAATTCTTACTTTTCCCCCCAACAATTTATGATGAGGATATTCAGACACACAGCCAAGTTTAACGCGTTAGACAGTAAGCACCCCTCCACCCACCATCTTTTCTACTCCTGGTCTTTAGTTTTATCACCAACCTTGCCACCTATTATGACCTTACTTTAAACCTTAAGTAATCGATGGCATTCGGCTTACCTGAAGCAGTATTTCCATCCTAGCCTAGGAAGATGGCAATCTAGCGGATGTAGGTGGCCGTGATAATCCGTAAACTTTGGTTGAACAGCCACTATGTGCAGATCGCTGTTAAGTGCTAAGGAAATGAAGAGACTAAAGGCTCAGGTTGAAGAGAAAGGGCTTTGATTTTGTCGGTTTTCTATGAGATAGGAGATAAGTCGGAGTTTGTGGTCACAAATGCCAAGTAGTAAAACAATGCCAATAATGCCCATTGAGTTCTGGCTGAGTACTGAGCATGATCTATTACAGGCTCTACACCTGTATGATTTCACGTAAATCTCACAACAACTTTGTAAGTAGGTCGGTGTTCCCTTCCGCCTTTTACAAGATTAAGAAACTGAGGCATGGAGAGGTTAGTCGACTCTGGGTGGTGCCAGAAAGTGATGGAGCCAGGACCCAGATTCCAACAGTCGGGGTCCAGGGTGTGGCTCTGTGCTGCACTTTTAGTCACAGCGTAGATGCCAGAGGCAGGTAGTGGACCCTCGGGCTGGGCCAGGCAGGGATCAAGAGGGGGTGCCTTGCAGCTCTTCCACCTGGACACAGATACCAGTTTTCAAATGGCTCCAGAAGGCTGGTGTCATGACTGCCCATACGTTTGGCTGAGCCTTGGTGCCAGGGCAGAAAGGTCGGGATTCTGGGATGTTTCATAAAGCTTGGCTCCTGTTCCCTCTTTTTTATTTTTTTATTTTTTTAATATTTATTTATTTTTGAGAGAGAGCTGGGGAGGGGCAGAGAGAGAAAGAGGGAGACCCAGAATCCGAAGCAGGCTCCAGGCTCCAAGCTGTCAGCACACAACCCGACGCGGGGCTTGAACTCTCAAACCACAGGATCATGATCTGAGCCCAAGTAGGATGCTTAACCGACTGAGCCACCCGGGCGCCCCTCTTGTTCCTTCTGCTTCCCTTCTTCCTCATCCCTTGGCTTCTTCCTTCTCAGCCCGCACTTTCTTCTTGGTGTTCGTAAGACACGCTTTGTTCCAAAAGAGCCTATTTGCCTGTAGCAGATGCTCTTGTTCTCAGACGCTTTGCATCTGTGTCATCGAGTTGTGCTGTCTGAAGCGCCCACAGCCTCTGTTGTGCTGACAGGAGCGGAACAGCCTGGCCTAGCAGCCTCCCGTGAGGGTGGGATGCTGTCTCCTAGTAGCTCTTGCCTCCTTCCTGGCCTTGGGGTGGTGTCAGGCCGAGCTTCCCGCTGCCACTCCCCAGGCCTGCAGTCATCCCAGACCTTGTGGCCCTGCCCTGGTCGGAGGCTTTCCCTACCGGAAGCCAGGCTCCGGGAGTCACCGGAAGCCAGGCTCGGGGAGTCAGGCCCCAGGAGCACCAGCACGGTCCGCCCTGGAGGCGTGGGGGTGGCCACAGTGCTTACCAGTCACCTTGCCCACCGCCTACGGAGCAGAAAGAGGACAGAAAAAGGCGGCAGGAGTGGAGGATGGCAGATGGAGAGGGCTCGGTCAGGAGAGGGTGGTCACACAGGGGGTCGTAGACAGGACCCTCACATCCCCATCACACAGCCGTAGGCCTCCCGTAGGACTGTGGCTGTGGGGATGCTTTCACCACCCCCACATAGGATTGTCACTGTGGGACCCACATAAACGAGGGGACCTGCCCACCGTGGGGCAGAGGCTTCCTGGGGAGGCAGCCATGGGCGTAAGACTGAACTAAATCTGTAACTTTTCACTTATTCTTTTTTATTATTATTATTAAACGTGTATTTATTTTTGAGAGAAAGAGAGCACAAGCAGGGAGGGGCAGAGAGAGAGGGAGACACAGAATCCGAAGCAGGCTCCAGGCTCTGAGCTGTCAGCACAGAGCCCGATGCGGGGCTCGAACCCACAAGCCGTGAGATTATG